TGTGACTGGCAACAAATGGTGACATTTTGGTGAGGATCCCGATCACCATCTGGATCCAGGAAGTTTTCGATCCTGTATTATGTGAATACAGGAATTAACCTAAGGTGGAAATCATAATACGGTATGTCTTGGGAAAATAGCTACTTGGCAGAGGTCTGCACTCTCCAAACACCTTACAGTTGCTTATGTTTGGTCCAACAAAAGAGTATTGAGTATTTTCTTAAAATACCTGAATCATTAGGTAATGCTTGATACTACCTCCACTCAAAAAATTAATTAATTTGATTGGTGAACAAATGATTAACTTGTCAGTACAATGTCCAAAATGAATCAAGGACTCCTGATGTTTTAAGGCAAGGCAAGTTTATTTATAAACATTTAAATATATTTATTATTATATATAAAAGTGATATATTTTTATGAATATAAATATATTCAGTGCAAAGATAATTAAATGTACTTTACATTAATTAAACAATAAAATAGAGGATTTTTGTTTAAGGCGTGTTTAGCTGAAAACAATGCAAAGCACATGTGTCGTAATATTTCCTTTGGATGGTTTTAATTGTGAAAATGCATTTTGCAGAAACAATCATGCCAGAGATAATCCTCTGTCTTAATCACTTTACTGACATTTTGACCACTGAAAGGCAGAAACACAACAATGACAATTTCTAATGTGAGATTTTTTCCATTACAGTTTCATTCAGGTTTTAATAGAGACATACAAACCATTTTTCCTTCGAATTGTCAGCATTTAAAATGCTGTGGTTTCCTCACATTCTAAAACACACATTCTCTATAATCTTAATTTTAAATTTAACATGCTTAAATATTTTTGACATATATTTTTCAATGTTGAAAACCTGTGGGGATATAGTTACCACATTATAAAAAGCACTTTATTTCATTTATTTATTCATTCTCCAGATTCAGAGTATTTATATTATGAAAAAAAACAATGTACAGTACAATAATCTAGTTGTCTTATTTCCGTATCTTTTATTTTTATTCACTTTTCTACAGGGGCGGAGCTAGATGGGTGGCCAGTGGTGGCCATGGCCACCCTTAGCCAATCATTGGCCACCCCTACCATTTATTTCCCTCTAATACAGATGGTGGCAGCAGTAATACTCTCAAGTGGAATATTCAAAACATTTTTCATATATGAAAAATTACTTTACAATAAAAACACTGGTTAATTATGCACATCAATGTACTAATATTAAAGATGATAGTAATAGAATACATGCTCTTCAGAAATAGATTTTGTTTTATGGGTAAAGAGCAAATGTCTCTGCAAGTCACTTAGGAGTCTTCAGTGAAATCATAGATAATTAAATGTTTTAATAAAAACTTATTAAATAATCAATTTATCTAGATATTAGTGCTTGAAAATATCAATTTTATGCTAAATGATTACTGATAAAAGTAGGTAAGCAACGATGTTCGCCCAAAATTCAAACCTAAAAGAATTTTCTCCACTATACCTTTTATCTAGAAAGCACGGATGTTTGAATATATGCATCTATTTGTTAGAAAAAGCCGTAGGAAAGTATCATTTGTCTTTATTAAGAAAATATGAATGTTTTGCTCATTAGTGTAGATTAACCATGGGTGCCTATCTGCTTTTGGCCACCCCTCATGTACAGTATTTATTGCCTGGCCACCCTTATAAGGTACACATTGTGTGACCACTTCTAATATAACCTTTTGCTGCTGTAACACCACAATTTCCCCATTGTGGGACAATAAAAGGATTTTCTATTATATTCCATTTGCTTGCTTGCAAACATTTCTTAATGGCACTAGAGGTTTACCTTGAGCTCGGTGCTGCAGGATGTTTTCTACATGTTTTACGGTAACCTCCAAAACTTCTGCATTCTCCATCTTCGACTGTAGCTGTGGATGGCACAGATACAAAGTGATCATCCACTGCTTGCCTTATTAGGACCCACATCTGAGGTGATTTGGATAAAAACATTACTTACATCCAGGTCTACCATGAGAACCCTGAGTTCCTGTAAGCTTTCATTGATGCGAGCTCTTCTTTTCTTCTCTACCAGAGGTTTCCTCATCTACGGATAACGGAGAAGAATAGGTCATTCTTAATCATTTCCAAGTCACAAATAATAAGTCTTAACATATCCTACCTTCCTGTCAGATTTGAATCCGCTATCACCTTCTCCTTCTGGAGTGTCGCCGCGGATCGGAGCCATGGAGGCGGCTGGGGGTGTGATCCAAGGAGCCGTTAGAAGGGCTCGTCAGGGGGACAGATGGCCGTGCGTTCCCAGCGGCAGTTGACTCCCTTTGGAAAATGGGCTGTTTATGCTGCTCTGAGGGGCCTTGCAGCGAATGCATGCATGGCTTCATTTAAATATGAATGCATTGGGCGCGCAACGCTCGTCCCCTTTATCAACAGGGGTTCTGGACCTTGGAGCCCAGACATGTAAAAAGATCTGATCTTATGAACCCTCTAAAGTTCATCATTTCACTTCAGTGGAAAAAGCACTTTTAAAACTTAGAAATGCATTTCATGACAGGTTAATGCACATTCCCTTAACCTTATTTAAAAAAAAAAAGTCTTCAGAATTTATCTTATTAGCTTCATATCTAAATTGGCCAGTTCTCACATCAGATAATTAGGTACTATGGTCAATTCCTTCTTGATTGTAGGCAATCTGCTCATGAACAACACCTCTCTCCTGCTAAAACACAAGAAAAACACTAATCTCAATTAGATCATGTTAGCTATAAATAATGCAAATTGAGAAAATCTTGATTTACCCTTTTTTAATTAACACTATCACTATATATTTTAATTTTATTGATATAAATCTTATTCATGTTATTTTTTTCGTTCATTTGTGTGACCCTAGACACAAAAACACATATTTATTACCATTCCTGGAAAAAAATTGTAAAAAAAAAAACAAAAACAAAAAAAAAACCAACATACTTATCTTTAATTAAGGCCTAGGGAAAAATAATCTTGCATTGGGACATATTCATTCAGAAAAGGGGGATCCCTTGGTAGGAATATTTTTGTCATATCCCTGGTGCTGCAATCATTATATCCCTGCTGTAGTTTGAACAGTCCCAAATGACCATTATTACTTTCCTTGTGTTATAGTATTTATGATGTTTGGAAGATATTAAGAGATTAATTTTTGACCATTGATCAGTGCATAATCTATATAAATCGCACAGTAAATTCCACAGTGTTAAATATTTAGTGTCAAAGTACATTGACTGTTTTAGAGTTATTACAGCTACAACTGGAGTAAGATACACTATGTAGAGTTCTAATTTAACACTTATACCGAGTGGAGCCAAATGCACTCTTAAAATGTAGACACCCTCACCTGGAATGTAAACACCACCTCACTGGTCAAAAGGGCACAAAAGTGAATGTACTTCCTGCAGAGGATGATGAGAGCCCAACTGACCCCACCCATCCTCACCACCTTCTACAGAAGCACCAAAGAGAACGTTCTGACCAGCTGCTCACTGTGTGGTGTGGAGGCTGCAGTTCCTCAGACTGAAAGAAAGTGAGAGGAGTGGTGAGAACTGCAGAGAAGATCATCAGAGCACTTCTTCCCTCCATAAAAAACTTTTCATCCTAGCGTTGCGTTGTCCTGAGCCCGTAACATATGCCCCCTCACTCTCCCACCGTGGACTGTTCTCCCTACTGGCCTCTGGGAAAAGGATTCGAAGCATTAGATGCAAGTCCAGCAGATTCCGAAACAGCTTCTTCCCCACTGCCATCAGACAGCTGAACTGTTGAGAAAGCTCTAAATCATGTCACAGACTCTGCATCAAACTGATCATATCAATGTATCTTTTTGCACCATGTTTTTTCTCCCACAATGTCTACATTTGATCCCTGCAAATTTTGTTTTGTATACACTCTGTGTATACAAAAAGACATTAACTGTTGTCTTTTTTTGTAATTCACATTTTCAGTTGTGTTTTTTCAGTCAATACAGAAATTACTTAAAAGTAGAACTTTATGAAAACATTGGAAACTATTCCTAAGGAAAAAAATTTTACATAGAAAAAAATCTATTACTTTTGGTTCCTAGGACAGAATTAAATTATCAGATCAATGCTGACATTTTGACTTACACTCTTTTGTGCTTGAAGTTCAATTTTAAAGAAATTTAAACTTTTTAATTAAGTTAGTGTCCTCATGAGGTCTACAGTATGAGATATGCTTGTTCTTATGACAGTGGGCATATGGTGCAGAGCTAACTATGTTAATGTGGATGAGTAGTCAGTTTGCCATAGACATATGATTTTCAAGTGTCTTCTGTTCATGTTTTTCCCAGTTTATAGATTCCCTGCTGGAGATTATTTTTTAGATTAAAAAAGGATGTAATTGTAGTGTACAAAAACCCAACTGTACAATTGTACTTAGCCTTTTTTTTCTTTTTTACAAGTGTTTTAATTTTTAAAGTAAATACTGATTTTTATGTAGATACTAAATCATATTTATTCAAATTAGAAAAAATAAAGTATTATACACAGTATAGTTTCTAACTGCAATGCTCTCACTACCAGTAGTAGTAAGCTTTAATAACTTTATTGCAGTATAGCTATTGGCTGGGCCAATTTAAAACATCACAACATTTCCGGATGATGGTGTTCAGAACAGAGATGATGGAAGGATATGCAGCCTTAAATAAAATGCGGAATTTACTACCATATTGGGATTTTTACTCCAAAGTAAAAACCGACTGTAGTGCAGTATCCGGAGATTGACTTGAAATTTATTCTTCCTTCTATAAAAACGGCCAAAGATACAAAGCATTATTTTTTGTGTGAAAATTAGCTCATAAAATGTGTATTTTAGAGCGTTTAGGTGCAGTTTTTAACTATCTATCAGCGCATTAATGTAGAACAAACTTTTACTTTGAAATCAACGAGGAGGCTTTTCCCTCGGTCCCACACAGCGCCCGTACGTCAGAAAAGACGCTCTTCTGACGTCACAGATTCCCGGGGGCGACGCAGCAGCGGCGCTATAAAGCCCTCTCGGTGCTGTGGATGGAAGCGCGGCGCAGAACCACAACCAGACAAGAGACAAAGAATTAAAGAAACAAAAAATACAAACACTGACTTAAACTAAAACATGGTGAAGATCACCTTCCAGTCAGTTTCGGCACAGAAGCCCGACAAAGACCAGGATGTGGACAAGATTACTATACCCCAGGCTCACGTGAGTTTGCGCACTTTGTCTTTCTTTGTTTCAAGCTTTCTATTGTGTCTTTTAAGATTTATTTCTATATCAATTTTATCACAGCATGAGTAATTGCACCTTTGCACAAGATAAGTATAGTGATGTCTGGTCATGTGTGCCCTGATCTGTGAGAGGATTTATTTTTAAACGTTTGATTTAAGTCTTAAATCGCCTATATATAAATATAATCTGAAAAGAATCTGTATATCTCTGGCATCAGACCTAAATGTTGCAGTAATTATTTTTGTTGAGTCAATTAGGGGATCTGTGCAGCAGCGTAATAGAAAAGGTCAGTGCATGCCAATGCCAGCCTGAGTTGACATTACATCATCTCAATCGGCTAGCCTGGAGGACACTGCAGATGACCAGCCCTATCTTTATAGCTGTGCATTCAAATGGATGTGACTGACATACCCTATTCCATTCAGTAAACAATTTGCAATGCATTTTAATTTGGTTGCATTTTTACCTCAAGGGGGAAAAAAAATCAAGCCATACAAAATAGATAAATAAAAAAGGTGCAATTATTGTAGCAATCATGTCATTAAGAGTATATACAATTTTAGTCCTGCAGGGGCGCCTTGGAGCATAAGAGGATGAATAGTATAGTAATTCATGTTTTGCATTGTATTTCAAGCCCTCAAGCTAAAATCTTAAAAATGTACTGGATGTCTAGTATCTGTCTACCATAAGAAGAGTTAGATTAAATATAATTCATGCATTAATGAATACGAAAAACGTCCTGAAAGGCTGAAGATGGGGATGTGTCAAGTCTTTCTTTGTCTGTCTCAGCATTAGATAGATAGATAGATAGATAGATAGATAGATAGATAGATAGATAGATAGATAGATAGATAGATAGATAGATAGATAGATAGATAGATAATGCACCATAGCCTCTTTTTTGTTAGCCTCTTTGTTTAAATCCATCTAAGAGGTCTATTCTTTTACACCGAATAGTCTTTTTTTAATCCCTACCCCTCCCCTTATTCTCAGCACACTACATGCTGTTCGATCCACTCAGTGACGTATCCATCATCACAGAAGACACCCCTTTTTCCTCTGTCTAGTTGCGTCAGTTGAAGGATGTCAGAGGCAGGGTGGGTTATGATTGGCCAAGGTAGCAGCTGAGGCGTCAGAGCCAATACGTGTAGATCTATTAATATGTCCCCCCCACACCGCCCAGGGACCCCTCTACGCTACACAATCGTCCTAATTTCTTTTTCACTCCCACTTGGTGAGCCGATATATGATTTCTGCAAATATGGAACATGGAAGTAGGCCTCCAAGAATAGACCCAGACGGCCACGTGCCAGAATCTCCGTCAGAGGCTGGCAGAATCTGTTCTCCTTGCTTCCGCTCTCCATGGCAACAGTAGTATGGGAGAGGCAGAAGGTTGGCCGAGAGACCGTAGGCGGGCATCTGGCATGCCTCACTCCAGCCCGTCCTACGTCTACCAGATCCGATTGCCTGACTAACAGCTTGGCAACAGCTTCCAGTCAGAATCACCTCTGCTACAATTCAGACTTAATAAGGAAGAGTATAGGCCTGTGTCCTTATCTAGGGTGCTGTCTTAACTCTAGGCAAGAACTTTTCAATAGAGCAAAACTTTCCCAATTAGCTTGAATGTATTTTACAATGCAATCAAAAAAAAAAAAACATTTGAGACTTGTGTGAGTTTAAGAAGCTGTTCTCTAACCCATCAGCTTTTCTTCTTCCCTAACAGGGGCGGTTGGTTCCTCCTATGAAGCCCAGGAAGCCCTTTCCAACAGGCTTGTGCTGCATCGCCATTGGCCTGGTCATTTTCACACTTGGACTAGTGTTGCCTTCCATTTACATTTATCGCTACTATTTTATGTCCCAGGTTAGTCAACTCAATCAAAACAAATTGTACCTCAAATATTACTCACTAGACCATGCCACTGATGATCAAAACATGCTGACTCTACTCTTTCTCACCCTCAGCAGATCCCAGAGGACAGCTTGTTCCACTGTCGGGTCATCTACGAGGACTCTGTGTACGCTCCCCTGAGAGGACGCCAAGAACTGGAGGAAAACGTGAGCATCTACCTTGAGGAGAACTATGAGCAAATCAGCATTCCAGTCCCTCATTTTGGGGGCAGTGACCCAGCAGATATCGTCCATGACTTCCAGAGGGTAAGTTCTAAAGTCTAGCCCTCTTGTCTAGATTTTTTGTATTTGAATGTTGACTAAATATATGTTCCTCTTAATTTATTCCAGGGCCTCACAGCCTATTATGACATTGCATTGGACAAGTGCTACATCACTGAGTTAAATACGACTGCTGTGATGCCTCCACGCAGCCTGTGGGAGCTGCTTGTCAATGTCAAGGTGAGCATCATGCTATATCAACACAGTGAATTTCTCTGTTGTGAGATCAATAAAGTTCTATTCTATTCTAAAGATGAGTAAGAACATTGTATTTCCCTTATACTGACTGCTTTATCTCTTTTTTTCAGAGGGGGACATACCTTCCCCAGACCTACATCGTCCAGGAAGAGATGGTGGTGACTGGCAGGTTGAGGAACATGAGACAGCTGGGCCCCTTTATCCACAGGCTCTGCTTCGGCAAAGAGACGTTCCGCCTTAGACGCCGCAACCAGCGCCAACGTGAGTTAGAATTTGTGATAAATTATACCCAATATGTGCCTGGGTCACTTCCGCTTAGTTGTCACCTGCTCATATCACCAGACTATGTGAGAATGTGAGCCAGGCAATGTGCTTAGGGGCAGTCATTGTGAGCCATCTGCATCAGAGATACAGAGTTCAGATTTGCTGTGTGGGAGCATCAGAAAGTGACCAGAACCAGAACCAAATAGGGTCTTCCTTGGGAGCATTTCAGACAGTTTGCAATCCACGTCTGTCACAGACATGTGTGTGTCTGTATGTATGTGTTTAAATGTGGGCACAGCTTGGGAACTTCCTCCTGCTACATGAATCACCCGTAGTGCAGTGGACATGTCCACACATTTGTGTAGGAGGTAGTGATGCGCATGCAAGATAGCTCTGGCGTTGTGTCCCACGATTAGTGTGAGATCTCTTAGAAATGATGCAGCAAACTTCCCCCTCAGTACATATATGGATGAGAGTAGTATTGATTCAAACTGGGCACTGTGGGAATGCGAGCAGCAGTAGTAATATGAAGAGTTTCAGTGCTGAGAAGATTTTTTCTAAATGCATCTTTTGCTTTTTTTCTCTCTCTTCCAGGTATCGAGAGACGTGAGACAAAGAAGTGCCACAGAATTCGTCACTTTGAGAACACTTTTGTGGTTGAGACCGTCATCTGCGACCGATTCTAAAATCAGAGGCGGAAATCACAGCCATGCGACACTGAAGCCAATTTCAAACCATACCTCTAGAATTTCTTATCCCTTAAGCTGCACTTTAAGAGCAAAATGTTGTCCTTTATTATGAGTTTCAGACTTTTTGTCCCATTTTTGCTCTTTTTTTTTATTGTTAATTGTTAAATTTGAAGTCAGATTGTACATGTGTGATGTTTGGATTTCTCTGTAGATTGTCTTGTAGAACAAAGATAGTAAGCTCAGTCTAATCAGTCAGTCTGTGACATTCACATCAGAACACAAGAATAGTTCTTGTCGTTTCTTGTTAATATATGTTCCCTTGGTTATTTTTTTTATTTCTTTAAAAGGATGTAGTAAAGATGTTAATTTTTCTTGTTATTTTCATTACAGAATTGTGTATATAACTGGTTGTTCCTAAGCAATATATATATCTATACATAATGTAAATTAATTTTCTTCTTATTATCACATTGTTACATGCATAGATTTTTATCAAACTTGTTTTTGTGAGATATCATTGATTTGTGGTTTATTCTTTTTTCCTTTGGTATCACACTTTCCTACTCCTTTGGTTATTAACGGCTTTAGACTGTAATTAGTAGCAGTGCTGTAGAGGGACAAAGGGAACCAAAGTCTGCAGTCAGTGATGCTACACATAGCTGTAAGGGATATAATATTTATATTGAAGAGTGCTTTATAGTTTAGTTCACTTACTGTAGAAGATATCAAAGGCAAAAATCAACTTTGTTTTGATCTTCCTCCTCCTCACTGAGATTTAGCTGTTTGTCTTTAACAATCGCCTCCTCTCAGTCCTTTCTACCTTTCATTTTCTGCAGTGTTGATGTGTCTTGTCATCAATTACATTTTTGGGTCTGTTAAATACGTATATGTGCTCATATTTAACTGTTTTTGACACTATCTTACTGTACAGTCTAAATTCTCTTGTAAGATCTTGCTGCTTTGAGAATAAACTATCAAACTTTCTTTGTCTTTTGGAGTTCTAAACTTCAGTGAAGGATACTTTTTTATTTTCCTTGAATAGACAAGGTGTATGGTCAATATTGACACTCCTGTTGAAGATATGTATGCAAATGCATTTGTATGGTAGATTGCATTGCATGGACCTAATTTAAAAAGTGTTACAAAAAAAAAAAAAAATACCTTCAATTTGTACTGCACACCCTTTGTCTAGACCTGTACTGAAGCAGCTTTTGCTTTGGATTGAAGGTTTTGATGGTGGGTTCATCTGTGGAAATGTAGTTTTAACCGGTTCCGGAAACCCCTGAGGCCCCAAGCCCCTGCCACAGAGCCCCATGCCCAGCCTCATCACACACAGGAAAGAGATGAGAGACTTTTCTTTTTGGGGGGAGATTTTTCTCCTGCAAAAGGTTTCACAAATCAAAATAAACTTTTTTATTAAGTCCAGACTCATGAAAACAAAATTGTAATTCTTTACTATCAGGAAGTCCACAGACTGCAGTTAAAAGCCTCCAGTTGATCTAAACTACTGAAGCCAGTGTTCTGATGGTAATTTAAAAGAGAGATATTTCATCTATCTTAGCTTCCGTTTACTAGCTTCCTGTTAGATCAAGAATAGAATTTAAAATCTTTCTTCTCACCTAAAAAGACCTAAATAACCAAGCTCTATCGTATATCAGATATCTGATTGTTCTTTATGTTCCTGACAGGCAATTTGCTCCCAATCTGCAGGTTCACTAGTGATTCCTAGAATTTCTAAAAGTAGAACTGGAGGCTGCTCTTTTGTATCCCCTCTGCTGTGGAACCAACAACCACTTTTAGTCTGTGAGGCAGAAACCCTGTCTACGTTTAAGGCTAGGCTTGATTTTTTTTTTCTTTTTGACATAGCTGACAGTTAAAGTGACTCAGATTATCCAAAACTATCTCTATAGTTATGCTGCTATAGGCTTAGACTGCTGGAAGACATAGGAACCACTTTTCATCATTTTGTTTTAATCTCTCTCTATTCTCCCATTCTGTACATGCTCATCCAGGAGCGGTCAGCTGTTTTTCTTAGATAGAAAACTAGTTAGCAATCTGCTTGTGTGATTTCATTTAACTATCCCAGTAAAGTGCATTGTGATGACCCATTGTGAATTGGTGCTATATAAATGGAAGTGAACTGAAAAAAAAAATGGAAACACATGCTAATTCTGGAAGTAAGAGGGGATATGCTCCTAATGTGCTTAAATTCGTGGGTGCTCTTTCACCAAAAGGAGAAATACACAACAGGAAACTGGTCTGGCTTTTTTTTTTTTTCAAGTGCTCACTAAGTGACTGTTGCTCAGTGGATGTTCCTGCAAATTGAAGAATATTGATTTGAAACAACAACTAAAAAACAAAAAAAAGGTATATTTTTTTGGTCTGTGTACATATCTGCAACTCCTTATTGAAAAACTATTAAAGCACAAAATATAACATAATCATATATATTGTATAATATACTAAAAAAAATTATACAACCGTTTTTGGCATTTACTTAATCATATTTAGTTACTCAATCACAATTGTCTTATGTCCTACCCTACTAACATGAAAAAAATTGTGTATAAGTAACTAAAAATGATTAAGTAAATGCCAAAAATGGTTGCATTGTTTTTTTTCAGTGTAGACAGGACAAAAGCATAGTTAATAGAAATATATAAAAGCTATTATCTTTGCCCATTACATTTTTTAAAGGTTAAACTAAGCATCTTCTTCCATATCACTTCCAGATATGTTTCCCTGATCCCTATCTGCAATGATTTGTAAATAATCTACCATGTATATACCAGCCTTATCAATTTTGATTCACATCTTTAAATCTCTTCAGCTAGAAGTCAAATTATGAAAAAAAAAATTACATTGGACTTTTTAATAAATGCTGTATATATAACTTCAGGTTCATCACCCTATGTGCCTTTCTCTGGGTGGGTGTAATCTTGAAGGTTGCTGGTGAAGCATTTACATGCAGGCTTGCTGTGCAGCACCAGAGGGAGGTATGTATGGAGAGATATTTGTGCCATCGGTTTGAGCGCGCAGGAACCAATCCGAGCGCGCAGTGAGACAACACGCGCGCGCGCAAAACCGGTCTGGCGCGCGCTCAACTCTGAAAAACCCTCTCAACACACTGTTCTCGCGCTCAGTTTCATCTCTGCGCGTGCTCGAATCCGTCTCTGCTCGCGCTCGCTCGACCTGCTCTCTCTCTGCGCTCAACACCAGCTGTGCGCTCGGCTGTTTCTCCGCTCGCTCGACTCTCTGCGCTCGCAACTTCAGCAATGTATGTAAATGAACCATACCATCAGCCAATCACACCCAGCTTCTTTTCATCCAATGAAAGCATTCCTTCCTTCTTCTTCTTTTCTATCATGGCGGTTCGCAAGCAACTTTAAGGTGCATACCGCCACCTACTGTTCATGAGTGTGTAGCAACATTGTTTTACATCTATTAAATTCTATTTTTTAATTTTGCATTCTGAAGATAACTAAATAATGCTTTCCTTAATCTATAAACATCCTTTATATTTCCTTTATTTCCCAATAATCCTTTAAGACTCCATTCTTGGCCTGTCATTTCAACTACTCTTCTCAATTTTTCCCTTTCAGGTTCATATGTTTTACAGTTCATTAATATGTAAGCATTCGTTCCAAATACTACATCCGGTTAGATGAAAAAAAATAAAAAATAAATAAATAAAAACACAATCAGGAAAATCAAACTACTCTTACAGTTATTTTGTCAACATTCCTAAGATAGTACTATAAAATATCTTGAATTATCTCAAATAAACTTCAGTAAAACAGTTATTAGATCATTGCCTCATCCATCTCTTTTACCTGCTATTGACATGGATTTAAATTTGCTGTTTTAAAAGAAAAATAAGGAGGATATTTCAGGTTCCAGTATGGTTCAACAGTATATAGATAATGTTTTGGATCATATTGGCCTTACTCTTAGCTTTTGTGGCGGGTGTTTCTTCTTTTTGTTGTTTTTTATGGAGGTTGGCAAACAACAATTACCGCCACCAACTGAAAAATCCTGTTTATCAAATTATTCTTTTTAATATATATATAAAGAATAACCCTCTTATTTAGAGTCCATCTGTAAAAGGTCTTCTAAATAATAATTGTTAAATTTCAGATCAGGTCTGCTGTCTGAATAATTGCGTTTAAATTAATATAACGGTCGCTGATCTAAAATCAGAGCAAACTAAACTTCTTAATGGAACGATTTCTTCAATCCATTGTAAGGCCAATATGATCCAAAACATTTCTCCTTTGTAGGCTGAATTCCATCACTGATTCTTTTACCCGATTTAAAAATAAATTATGAAACTAAAACAAAACACCATTCCTAATATTGGAATATTTTGAAGCATCCATAAAAAATTTAACATATCCATAATATTTTTTATCTATATATTGTTGAACCATACTGGAACCTGAAATATCCTCCTTATTTTTCTTTTAAAACATCAAATTTAAATCCATGTCAATATGTATTTTTTTTCATCTAACCGGATGTAGTATTTGGAACGAATGCTTACATATTAATGAACTGTAAAACATATGAACCTGAAAGGGAAAAATTGAGAAGAGTAGTTGAAATGACAGGCCAAGAATGGAGTCTTAAAGGATTATTGGGAAATAAAGGAAATATAAAGGATGTTTATAGATTAAGGAAAGCATTATTTAGTTATCTTCAGAATGCAAAATTAAAAAATAGAATTTAATAGATGTAAAACAATGTTGCTACACACTCATGAACAGTAGGTGGCGGTATGCACCTTAAAGTTGCTTGCGATCCGCCATGATAGAAAAGAAGAAGAAGAAGGAAGGAATGCTTTCATTGGATGAAAAGAAGCTGAGTGTGATTGGCTGATGGTATGGTTCATTTACATACATTGCTGAAGTTGCGAGCGCAGAGAGTCGAGCGAGCGGAGAAACAGCCGAGCGCACAGCTGGTGTTGAGCGCGGAGAGAGAGCAGGTCGAGCGAGCGCGAGCAGAGATGGATTCGAGCACGCGCAGAGATGAAACTGAGCGCGAGAACAGTGTGTTGAGAGGGTTTTTCAGAGTTGAGCGCGCGCCGGACCGGTTTTGCGCGCGCGCGTGTTGTCTCACTGCGCGCTCGGATTGGTTCCTGCGCGCTCAAACCGATGGCACAAATATCTCTCCATAGGTATGGGCTTTTCTCTCCCCTTCACTTTGATCTGGGTGTTTTCGCCAGGTTTTGGTTTGAGCTCGACTTGGTTTCGGTTTGGTTTGGTTTGACTAGATTGGACTCGTTTGATATAATCTAGATTCTTTTGCGTGGTTCTTAACTCAACATGTACATTAAAGATTTTTACTCAGTCACACTAACATGACAAATTTTATTGCTATTTTTCTTAAATTAATATTCGTTAAAGGATTTCATGTATCCGTTCCCTCTTTTTTGTCATAAGCCCTAGACCATGTTGTGAACAAGTGCCTGAACTACAGCTGGTAAACTACGGGTTTTATTCTTTAGACACTGTCATTTTAAAACATTCGACTTAAACGAATCAGAATAAACCGAATTTTCTTGAAATATGTCAGACAGAAACATAGGACATATGTTGATAAGAAATGTGTTAATATTTGGAACACATTTAAAAATCATGCAATGCGTGCTCCCGTGACAGGGCATACACCCTCAGTGCAGCCATTTTCTAGATTCTGATCTTTATGTTATGGAATTGTTATAATTATATCGTTAACTTGGAAAGACTGACAGAAACTGCAAACTGAAACTAAACTGCAACTCGAAATAACTGCTGATTAGAAAGTGAGCTGAATATGTTGTACATATATAGGCGTGTTCATGAGGTGAAGGTATTGATAGAGGTAGCGACTATGTGATCAATCTGCTGCACACTTCAGAAAAGCCATCCAATAAAAAAAATGTTTTTTTTTTTATAAAACATACAAAATTTGAATAGCCTTATAATTTTTTACCTTTACATTTTTGCTATATAGGGCTTTAGCTGTTAAGTAAAAAGTAAAGCATAGTGAACATATATTAATTAATAAACACTAGATATTTAACCATAACCTAACTAATAAACAAAGAATTAAACCAACTGAATAAAATGAAGTGCAGTGTATATATATATAAAAACTAATCAGTTAACAGCCCACATGCAACTGACTGAAACATTTGAAAGCACAATTGAAAATATACTACTCCAAAACTTGTTTTTTATATCTGACCCTAGTAGAGTGCAGTTCATCACTTGATACAAAGCTTGGATTTCCCCACAAACACATCGACGGCCGCTGTGGTTCTGTCCTCCTGCTGTAGGGGCCCTTCTGCACCTGCAGCCGCTCCTACTGCATGCAGCTGGAGTGTAAACTCCACCATAACCACCACATAACATCTGTGATAACTTTGCACATTTGACACCCTCTGCCTAATTGGCCTGACGCTTTTTTATTCTTGATGATCGTCTTACTCTGTGTGTGTGTTTTGACTGATTGATTGATTGGTTGGTTGGTTGATTGTCTGTCCAGCCCAGAATCCATCATCACTAAAAGGGCTGATCCACCAGTTTTTGTGTAGCTATGAGCACAGAGTGGGAGAAATAACAACACCCCTTGTAATTGACTTGATTGCAAGTCCAGCTGTGATTGTCGATATGGGTCTTTTTGTATTGGTAATATTTTTTTCATTATTTAATGACTCAATAGGATCAAGATAAAGCTGCTTTTTATAACACTTTGTCTTGTTTTTTCCATTTTGAAGAGCGGCATAGAGAAGAGACCTATTTATGGGTGGTTTTAGATAGAGACAAACAGCAGCCATTTGCCCAGGTAGATATAGTCCTGGCCCCTTTTATAAACCTTTTACAAAAGAAATTAAGAAAAATATATGTATAATAAATACCTTATATGTGCTGGAAATGATACCAAACTGATAGGTGCCTTGGACCAATTTCATTTTTTTTATTTTCAATTTTGTTTTATTTATTATTTTAAAAATGAAGATGTTGCCCCTTTAGCTTCAGTCATATTGCTTGTGCCACTCTATAAGCCTGGAACTCAACACTGCTCCAGACATTTTGAATTGAGAATGATTTCTAGATGGATGCAAAACATCTTCAAACATGGAAAACAAGTCCAGTGGTTTGTTTTTTCTATTTTGGAATGACTATGACCTAGATGACTGAGAATCTTCACCAGCCAATCATATTGAGGCAGAATCACAGCATTTATTTGCTAGATCTAAGGTTTCCAGGGCTGTAAACTGTTTTTTGGTTCTCTTAAAGTAATGAACCAGGAACTTTTGTCCTTGATTTTGTTTCATTCTGTGCCTCCATGGAAAAAAACACTGGCCCTACCCTGCCCCTCTTACAAATTTGGTCTAGAACAGTCACTGCCTTTGTGTCTCATCCTATTAATACCACAGAAAAACTGAATAAATTCTTAAAATGTAAAATCAAGTTAGATTTATGTTTTCCTCACTGCGTGAATGTCTTCAAATTAAAGGTTGGCATGTTGGTTCTAAATTTATCAGTGAAATATGCAAATATTGTTTAAAAATATATTGATTTTTTCAATTTCTTTATCATTAGATATTAAGGAAGCTGTATGTTGCTTTTAGAGTAAAGTGTAGTTTTAGAGCCCAGCAAAACAACCCTGGTTTTTCCTTTGTGTTCCCTGATCACACAGTGGGTGCATTTTCCATGTGGCTTTTGATGGTTTGCTGCTTGAAGAGTTAAATATCCTCTCCTAGTATTTACAGCTGGCTTTTTTTTTTCAAACAAAAAACTACAATTTTAGAGAAAGAGAAGGTGAAATAATGTTACATATATAACTCCTTATAAAGTTAAACTGTGTCACTTTTAAGTGCGTTTGAACTCTGAATTTGATGCGAGCCTCTTATCCGTGTGTGTGTGTGTGTGTTCGTGTATAGAGTGGTTTAGTTTAGTCATTTTTTTATTATTATTATTGCTCTTTTAAATATCTGAGATATTTCGTCTATTTTTTTCATTTTATTGAGAAAGCCCACCCTGCCACAGAAAATAAATAGTCCAGTTTTAGGTGTACAAATTTATTCCTTATTAATCCTTGTACTTAATGCACTGTAAACTCATAGAAAAACTGCAACTCATATAAAATTAGCAGCAACTTAATTCACATCATCTTAAAGACTCTTAAGTTTGCCATCACATATAAATGAGATCTTGCCTCTAATTCTTTATGAGATATGCTATATTCTATCCAGTAATTCATACAGTAAAAAAACTGCCACGTGTTTTTTTTACTATTTAAGAAAATAATAGCTTAAAATTCAAATGTGTATAGTTACAACTATGGTAATTATTTACAAGTAATAATACAATTTTATAACAAAATAATAATGTATTGATGGCTAATATATATATATATATATATATATATATATATATATATATATATATATATATATATATATATATACATACACATAATGCTAATATAATAGTTGCTGAGCAGAACGCCGTACGGCTGAATTGAAAAACAATACTGGTTTTGTTACAGTGATATACAAATCTTGCTTATTTAAAATTAAATGACAGTGACATAAAATACCCTTCAAGAATTTCAGTAATATAAAACATGAGTATGTTTTCCACTCTGACTCTCTGACTCGGAGCAGTTTGTGTAATTAACTGAACATATATAAACACAAACAGAACTTTATTTCAACAGTCAAAAACATCAGAATATCCGTAACTCCTTAAACTACACTCTATCATTTAAGGCTCAGATTCACAGTTATTTGTTCTACAGATAAGTCATCTGACTTCAACCACTTGTAACATACAAAAAAGCCTAAACAAAGATTCTAAAAATAAAAACAAGTAAAACTAACTTGTTTCAAATAAATGTGAAATACATGAATGCTTTCTAAGATCACGTTATTTATTTGTTGGTATTGGAATGTGTACAGATGCCTTTATCAGCCACCCTTTGTCTAATATTCATTTGTCCAGAAAGGGCTAAAATAACAAACAATACCCTTAAAAAAAGTCGAATAAAATAGAAATGTTTAATATTTGAGAACAGGGATCTTTTGGTCTTCTATTTAAAGGAACACTTTACTTAACTCTTCTTTTTTTCTGTTTGACTCCTGATGTTCTGAATCAAAGCAACAAAGATCTGCAACTGTGCCAGATTTAAAATGAATCATACCACAAGTCAGTTTCTTATCATGGAGTCAGCAAGCTAAAGGTTCTCAACCATCTTAAAAAGCACCTTTCAAATTCTCCATCTGTAGTGGAAGGTTTCCTTTTTGCCGCCTATGTTTTGGTTACCAGTGCTCTTTGAGGTTAAAAATGCGTCACCTGGCTTGCTGCTCCAGCTCAGTGGTTAAATTTATCATCGTTCGCTGACCTGGTTCATTTCCCATTGTTCTAAGTTGCATGTTGTACTTTCTCAAAAGCAAGAGCTTCTTGCTCAGTCTATTTTACTAACTTGCCAAAAAACAATGAATATGACCCCACTCTGTCGTATCCAAGTCACATCTTCAGCCTTTTGCTAAATGTTCAGACCTCTGAAGTGCTGGAATTGCCTCTTCTTTGGCTCAGTGTTCTCATCCTGAAGCTGTTTTTGGTGCTCCTCACCTCGTGAGCAACAAAGTAGTAGCAAAAAGCATCCAAGCAACAGGTGATGTTGGACAAACACATGGCCGTCTGTATGAACAAGCTCATACTTTGCTCGGTGTTGCAGTCCTTAATCACCTTCTGGTGAACCTAAATGTGCAGGGATTGGAAAAATCATCAAACCCAACCTGACCTTTTGGTATTTAATGTTTCTAAAGATATATATATATATATATATATTTATACAAAACTATATATAATATATCATCTGAGAAAATAGAAGGAAATAGTTCATTGATTTTAAAATAGCCTATGCTGAGTGAAACTTAATATACACTTCAGGATTTATATATATATATATATATATATATATATATATATATATATATATATATATATATATATATATATATATATATATATATATATATATATATATATATATATATATATATATATATATATATATATATATATATATATATATATATATATATTAATACCTATTCATATAAATACCCATTGTGTAATAATTCTGTTAAATAAAAGACTTCAGCTGATATATAAGGATGCAGTGTATATACTTTATATATACCCCATGCACCTTTCCTCCTTTCTTCTTTTTGACTATTGAGCTGATGTAACAAGGACATTTCTCCACTGTGAGATCAATAAAGTTTATCAATTATATATTTTAGAGTGTATATTAAGTTTCTCTCAGATGACCCTGAGAAATTTTTTTTCAAACAAGCAATGGCAAAAATATTTAATCTGTATATATTTACCACTTGCAGATGCATATAATGATTTTAACAATAATCTAACATCAGCAAACAGTACACACAGTTAGACAAGTTATTTATATGCTTTGTTATAAAAGTTAGTGTGATCTTAAAACCAAACATAAAGCTGTGAGATTTACATATGTTTTGAATGTTATGTACATGAATTATTTTGTGTCTGTGGGAACAAAACTGAAGAATACACCAGAGACTCTGAGTCATTGCAATAGTGTGTAGTAGAGTAAAGCTGCAAGTCCACTGGTTTGTCATAAAGAAATAAGGGTGTGAGAAAAAGAATTTCACGTCCAGAAGATTCTCATTATGTCATTATGTTTAATTAGATAAATAGTCATCTTGAAATAACCTTTAAGCAAAAAACTAATTCAGCTGAATCTATCCAGTATTGTTTGATCTTTAAATCATCATCTGTTTATGTTAATTTAAATTGATTTACATGTAATATTTATCTAAAGACCTTATTTCTTAAAATTGTTTTAGTTTATTTTTATTTCTTTGTTTGTTCCTAAGTTTCTATATCTTCATAACTCCATATGAGTAGTGTGTCTCACCAGAAACTGCAGGAAGATGGCCAGATGGCTCGGCGTGAACGGCACCAAGAAGGCCCCCAGGCTGCTGTAGATGATCTTGATGCAGGCCTGGCTTTTTGGGCTACGTTGGCCAGACTCCTGAAGAACGCAGATGGTATGAACCGAACAGCTAACCACCACGAGCGCAGGCCCCAGAAAACCAAACACCTGCAAGCAAATGATCACCACTGGACTCCAGCCTTTCTCTGAAAACCCGTGGAAGCAGTGGAAGTCCTCTGTATAATTCTCCCTTAAGTTGTAGATGACCGGAAAGACTGCAGAAGAAGTCAGAATCCAGATCCCCAGGGAGGCTAAGAAAGCTGCTCTGGGGGAGCGCAGCTGCTTGGCTTTGAATGGATAACATATTGCCAGCCACCTATCAATTGCTATGCACATAATCATGTAGATGCTGCCATATGTGCTAAAAAAATAAAGGTTTTCCAGAAAGGAACAGAACATCTGGGATCGGCCCGACCACTTGTGATTTGCAGCGTGCATTTTGAAGGGTAGAGGTAAGAGAAGGAGGAGGTCCATTAGAGCCAAGCTAGTCATGAAGATGGTTGTCTCAGTCCACTTTCGGAGGCACAAGCAAAACGCCATCAGAGCCGTCAGATTTAAAACTATCCCAATGCAGAATATAGGAATGTAGATGATCAGCTCTAAATATTGCATCATTTTGTCAACATTTTCAGTTGAACAGGAGTTTGTGCTGTTGTTGCTGTAGAGAAACAGATTTGATCCGATTTCATCAGCCATGCCAAATATTTCAATGAAAACATTTCATTGTGTGAAATGATTGTGTCTTTCCTGTCATTACTTTTAGTTCCCACACTGAACATTAAACATAAAGCAAGGCACCGAGGCAACTGAAACTTCTCAGATGTGTGGGTATGCGAGCTGCGGGCTCGTTTTTTCGTCCCCACTGTAAAAACTAGACAATGTAGCATGGGAACTCTTTACATACAACCGCTCGTCTTCTTCATCTAGACTGGTGATGTTAATCTGATTTAAAGGTACAGAGATACAGACTGATATATGTTGTAATTTGTGATGGAAATCACCTAGATAGTGTTTAGCATCTGCAGAATACGGATTATTTTGTTTTTAAATGGAGGTTTCATTGAGAGCAGCTACTACCAGGACAACTTTCCTTAGACTCTACCCTAGTGTGTTCCAACTATGGCGGCAAAGGCCACACAAAATCTAAAGTTATTTTTTATTTAAGGAGGAAATACTAAGGTCTAAATATAACAAATAGCTATGTGGTTAAAAATTTCCTTGCAGCTTGAACTCTTAAACTTAGAAACTACCAGTAGGTATCTATGCAGGAGCAGACTAGCAAAAGAATCAATTCTAAGACGTGAAAGGATTGCAGGACAAATTCTTCTTGCCAAGTTAAGTCTTTTGCATTAGAATTCAGTTGAATTAATAAGGACACCCTTTCGTACACCTTAACAAACCAATCTAACAGGTAAGCATTTGACATCAATGCATGAAGATTTACAATTGCTTTGTTTTATAATGTAACCTGAACAGGTGAAAATTTAAATCTAGTCTTGTTCTTACCTCATCATTGTCGCAAAGGAATTATGCCGTTTCTTTCTGTGTGTCTCTACAGTGCCAGACAGCTTCTGCTTTTCTGCCTCTTGTTGTTTCATCACCACTTCCTGCGTCATGCCACACATGTGTTTGCTTAGATGTGTTTTTTTTTCAGCTGAACTTGTTCAGCAAGTCTTAAACTGCCATGGTATGAGTTCCCAATGTAAATGGTCACTTGCAAAGTGGCAAAATAAAAGCAAAGGTGGAGGAAGGAGATCTTTCTCAGACTATAACGATGTTTCTACCTTACTTTGTTTGAAGCTATTTCAAAATCGATATTGTCGAGCTATTGCACTCTGTGGGACAACATTTTTACAATTGGTTTGCATTTTATTAACCTGCCTGTGAAGCTTCTTATTCATTTTCACACCATACTTTTTTTGTTGATATGCTTTTTCAATGGTTTCCACAGCGTTCAGGAACATTCAGCCAACACTTTCCAGTGAAAACCACAAATTTCCACCTGACCACCAACACTTATCTTCAACCAACACATTGATTGTGAAGCATTGCAGGCCACATTAAACTAAGGGAGTGATCACCTGACTATAAAGGCTCAAGGAGACTGTCGTTACCTAAAATCAACAGCACAATACGAGAAAAAAAAAAAATTGAGATATGAAATTGAGGGAACATCAGTGCCAGTAAATGCCACCGGCTTCCTCTGACTGTTTATGTATTTGTTTTTTGTTTCCTCAAACTGAAATTTCCAGGTGATTATTTAGTCCTTTTAATACTGAGACATTTTATTCTTAAAGGTGTGACTTGAAATATCTCTTTAGTGGTTTATGCAATCTTTCTTCACTTTTTTTGATTTCATCTTAATCTTTTTACAGAGATGAGTAATTCAGGACTAAAAAGACCAAACTGTGATTCTTGAACAGGTAGGGGTGCTGACATTTTATCTTCCCATATCAAAGGGAATGAGTGAGCGCTTAGTTATAACTGACTGTGGGAAGCTGCAGAAGCAGATTTTTGACAGTGATTATGTTTGATGGTTTCCTGGTTTCATGTGATGAAATGACTTGACTGAATTGTAAGTGTGAGAATTTCTGTGTGGTCTTTTTTCTGTCGCTGGAAGATGGAGGTTTGAGCTTACCAAAGTCACCTCACAGAGGAATGCTATATGCTTGGACAGACTCACTGAGGGTGAAGCTTTCTGATTATTACTTTCACTTCAAAGGATGTCAGGAAACTTCTGTGAACTGAGGTGAGTCTGATACGTTAACTGCCATCTGCTGTTTTATAAAAGGTACTGTAAAGCGTCTAGAATGATTAACTCAAGCCTTGACTCTAAAAGCAGATTATTTTAAACACTTTTATATAAGATCGATGGCTTGAGATTTGAAGATTTCTACACCCATTTCATTTGGAAAATACAATCAAATATGGACTGTATATTACTGAATACAATGGGTTGTAAATAATTCTGCATAACTGGACATAAATTCGACACATTTAATATTTTAAACATTAAATTTTTTATATATAACACACTGAACAGATGTAATAAAATTAATTCCATGGCCAGTAATAAAAAAGCAAAGCTTTTTGAAAACAGTTCATGTTTAAACATTACTTTGCATACTGCATGTTAATTCATATCTTTAAATACTTTTTACATCATCCATCTACACTTTATTTTGTATAAAGTGCATTTAAAACACATAGTAATTGATTAGAAATACTTAATTATCATTGTAATTATTATACTGATAATGAACTCCTATAGTTGCAGCACTTTGTACTACAGCTGGTGCTACTTTTTTCACTATTATCATCTTCATTTGTCTATGTCTGTTAAGAGGATATGTACCACTGTTGATTATAATGTGTTTTTTTTTTCTGTTCTATTTCTAAAATATCTTATTACTTTAACAATAATTGTCTTGTCTTTGTGATGCTATATCACCTGAATAACTGCCAAGGTGATCAATAGAGTAATGAATTGTCTCAGTGTCTAAGAGAAAGAAATATTGCAAGCTGTTTTTAAAATGTAATAAACACATATGAGAATCATCCATTGATGTACCAAACATAATAACTGATGTTCACTCCCAGTTTTACATGTAAAAAAACAAGACCAAAAATTTTCAATATTCAACACTTTTAACTTTAATTGTCTATTATTCAATAGAAATTAGGCAGGTGACATGTTAAGCTAAAAACTCAAGCAAATAGACGAAATTCTTCATCTCAGGAAATAATGTGTGTGTGTGCGTTTGGCAGGGGGTTTTTAAATTATAGCATATCATTCACCTCACTTAGCAACTATTTCTATGTCCTAAACACTTTATAGTTATGTTTTCTTCTATTTTGACCCTTTAAATTCTTGCAGAAGTTATAATAAAAACTAAACTCCTTTCCTTGTTAAGATTTTCTGGAACCAAAAAGAAATACATAGAACTTGAGACTCAACAGTAAGAAAAAAGGTATGTAAGAATAAGTAATATATGATATGTCCGTCCATCCATCCATCCATGATAACATAAAAACAACACTCCAAGAAAGTGTTACAGTTAATATAAACAGCTAATAAGAAGATGATTTGGGGAAAAGCACTGGAAAAGCCAGCCAGTTTTTGTTATTTTTCCACATTGAGCGGAACTGTCAATGTTTTTTTTTTTTTTTTGAAGGGACCTGCCATTTCTTCTGTGGCACAAACATCTCATCTCAAAACGAAATACGAGGGGGCGAGCTGAGGGTTTGATGTGAAAGACAAAAGGCAGAAACTCAAACTCTCACACAACTAAAAAAAAACACAGATACACACAAAGATACATCCATGCATACAAAAAGGGAGATGTTTTTCTCTCTAGGAGGCTGTGAACTTCCTGATGGTGATGACGATAAGGGCGAGGAGGACCGATGCTCCCAGGAACACTGCAATAACTATGGCTGTTATGGCCCCCGCTCCCAGAACACCTAGAAAACACACAAATTAACTTTAGATTGTTTTACAAACATTGCCATATTTTTTCTCTTTTACTTAAGTGTTACAGTTAATATAAACAGCTATTTTTATATATATATAATAAAAGAATATATATAAAGGAATACTTTTTTTTTTAATAACAACACAATGGTCATGTTTATTCATTTATGAAATTTTTCTGTCTTTCACACACAGACTACTTCTTCCTGTTATATTTTTGACATACTGATCCATAAACAGTTTTTTTTTTAAACTTCTTAAAAAGGTTGCATTTTAGGAAATCATCACTGTCTAATACTAGATAAATTTAACCAAAGTAAAAACGTTTAAATGATGAGGTTAGTTATAAAAGGAAAAGGTTTTCAAAACCAAGAGCCAGTTTAGTTTTACTGGCTAAAACAAGACCTGATTACTGCTAGGCATGAATAATAATGAGAAAGAACATGTCTGGCCGGATTTAACAAAGTTTCTGAAAAAATAGGAAACAACCTCAGTGACATCAGTAAGTCTGGACATTTTTAAATTGGATTTACAAACATGTGTTTGAACCGATTCTGCTGTTTGCAAAGGGAGAAAAAGAAGCAGCATAGATGAACTTTACCAGGAGAGTAAAAGTGTTCTGCAGCTTTGTTTAGGGTCACAAAGATCAGAGTAGAGACTGGGCAACACGGCATTCATGGGAGAGTTTCAAGGTGACAACTACTGCTGATCAAAAAAGAAACACCTCAAAGCCATGATACATTTAACAAAAAATTACACTTAAATGAGGGCAGGGCATTTGGTAAAATGTGCCTAATGTAAAACTACTCAGCACTTTAATAACTTACCTATTAACAGTCAGCTAAATCAATAAGACTATTTCTCCACAGAGATGTAAAAGGCTCATTGCAAATAACTGCAAATGTCTTTTGGCAGTTGTTGCAGCAAATGGTGATACAATCATAAGTTAGGTTTTGATAGGCGAGGTTGGTTTACACAGCTGTTTTCTGATAATAAACTATATCATGAATCAAAATATAGATTTTGTAAATAGTCAGGATATTTCTACTACAGAATGTGTGACAACCTGTCTCATTTAGGTGCGACTTAAAGGGAAAAGAAGGATTAATAGCGGCCTAGTGTTTAGGGCATAGAGCTTGGAATCCTGAGGTTCTGAGTTCAAGCCCCACTCCCACAGACTGCCACTCTGGGTTCCTGAGCAAAGACCCTTAACCCCACACTGCTCCCTGGGCGCCCCACGGGGATGGGTTGAATACAGAGGTCAAGTAAAATGTTTAAGAAATGTATGGATGAAATTTTTTTTTTTACAGTATATAGAGCATTAAAGGCTGTTTTATATGCTGGATCAACAAAATAAAAGTCTGGTTATGGTTTAACCTTCGTCCTCGTCCAGGATTGGTGGATGTGTGGAATCCTCAAACTCAAAGCGGTAGGTATGTGCTGAGATGTCCAGGAAAGGGTTTTTAGTTGTAACTTCAGTGGGAGGATCTCCAGACATGGCATCCTGCTGGTCTCTACTGGAAGCAGCCAACAATGTCTCTGCACAGAAGAGAAAGAAACAAATAACCAAGCTTCTTTGACTACTTGAAGAACTGAGAATGAGGTAAATCCTAATGCTAATGGACGTACTTCTCTGCTTTGGAGACTTTGAGCGCTCACAGCAGCACTAGTCTGTAATTCTCTAAACAGTCTCTGTTCTGTCTCCAGGTCAGGTCTGAGTATAAAGATGCCTTTGTAACAGATGGACAGTTTCTCAGTTTGACTAACAGGTTGTCTAAGGATTTTTTTTTTCGCTCTAAGATTTAGGGTCCACAAAATGTAAGAGCAAACAACAAACACAGACCGTTGGTGACTGGGAATATGTTTAACCGTGTTTCCTCCTCTGTTCTTTTTTCTTTTTTTTTTTTATCTACCAATCCAAATTCGGCCTCGGCTGCCATTCCTCCTCTTCCAGCGTGCGGCTTTTCACAATACAGCTGGACAGACAGAAGCTGTTTCTCTGAGACACATTTTTATTTGTCCGAAGTCAACATTTAGGGTGTTTCTTCTTTTTTTGGCATCTCTGCTGTGGATGAACTTCAGAATAGCTTTGCTTTGAAAATTCAAGGGAAAACATATATAAACTCTTCAGGAGGCCCACCCATTTAGACACTGAGCAATTTACTCACCCAGTTCTTGACTACTTGCATTCCAGCACAACCATAATCAAAATATTTTTACATGCAGCATATTTAACACTATGTATTTACTGTTAGGCCTCTCTCTCTCTCTAACATAATCAGCAGTCTTCTAGTCATATACAAAATTAGAAAATAGAGTGAGTGGAGGCTTGATCATGAAGAAGTATAATAAGATGTCAGATGCGGTATCTGCTAATATTCGTAACTCCAGTGTTTGATGTGCGTGTTTTGATGCTGCCTTGTTGACTGTGAGCAGCCTCCTGTCCCGGTGCTGGCTTCAGGTCTGGAGGCCCAGGCTCGTGGCCAGCATAGCCATCAATGAGGCCTTCAGCTGATGACACAAAAGGCAGCTTGTGCGGCCAAGCAGACCAACAGGCTTCAACCAGTAACGGCCGGACAGGCCAAAAGCAGGCAAAGCAAAACTTGTCAAAGTCAAACAAACTTGTTTATTAAATAGACCCTGTGTGCTAAAATGGCTGTAGTTCTGAGCACTGTGATTGAATGAAAATGTGAAAGAAACCAATGACATGATACTTTTTGTACTTCCTGGGTGTATCTTGCCATGAGAGGTTTACTTTATTATTTCATGTTGGAAATATTAATTTAATCCATTTTTCTTTATTTACACGTCTGAATGTTGAATTAACCTATCTAATGACACTCATTTGGGTTGAGTGAATCCTGCAAAGTCAATGACTTGATGTAATCAGTAATTTCACAATTTGTATGATTTGATTGAATTCCCTTCATAAATTACCTTAAATATATATATATATAGTGAAGTGGTGCAATATATATAAACTGAATTAAATTGAACAGATGATAGACAATGTCTCATTCTCTCACATGACCATTATGTTTGTAACTGTGGAAGATTATCAAACTGTTAGAAAAGTCACTTTATCACATTCAACAACCTTAGAGTCTTGCTAGAAATTTTTTTTTGATTTAATCAATCAGTTTTATTTTGTTTTTGAAAAGGTTTAACAAATCCTCGTCTATTTATAAATTAATATAGAGCTAAATTTTTATGGGCTGTAGTGAGCTAATAATTTATTTTGTCTATTGTAATTAAAGTACAATTTTGTTATTTTTTGCTGAACTTAAAATTGCCTTTTAATTTTAGTAGCTCAACCATTTCTTTGTGATCTTTATGAATCTATGTAAAAATGTGCCATTGCCTTTCACCATAGGCCTTTTAATCATTTAGAGATGAGGGATAATGGCAAAAGTTCGCTTTAAATCAATTTATCAATCAGCTACTTTGTATATGAAGCTAACTGGCTGTAATTTATATGGAAGCAGAAGTTTGACTAAATCTGATTAGGTGTTCGTTTACTCTATTTGGATATGGTGCACACATTTATTTCTGTTGCTAACTTAGCTTCTCCTCTTAAAGTGACATTCAGCTGCTCCATATCTAGTTTGTTCTTTATTGACAAAAATTTTCGAGTAGTCTTTGATTACTTAATTTTTTTTTTATACATTTATGGTATTTTTGTACTGATATTGGTTTACAATGTAACTGATGGAAACTAAAAAGAAATTCTTTTTTAAACATGGAAAATGTATTTATTCAGTTATTATCTGACTATAAAGTAGAAAGCAGCTATGATTTTAATACACATCTTAAGCTATTAAGCTGTATATTTGTTGCTTTAGGGTATATTCTTGCTATATACGCTTCCTATCCCACCAAACATTACTTCTTTTTAAAAGTAAGTGAAATAGAAGATAATTAGTTGCTAAATGTTGACTAAGATTTTAGTTTGTTAAACTTGCTTTTTAGTTTTAGAAAATTGTTTAGAAATTAAAAGTAATAATTCAAATTGTT